CCAGAGTGACCAACTCTTCCCCTGCTACTCGTGAGAACACACATGAATGAAACAAATATAAAAACAGACACAGAAAAAACAAAAACCAATCCCGAAGCTAGACAGAAATGCTCACCTCAATCTATGGCGGTGGCTGGGGATGAATAGAAATGTCCACCCCAATCTTTCGCTCGAAATGAGGCTGGACATGGCAGATCACCTCGTGATATAATACAAAGGCCAAGACGTACGTGCATTTGCAGCGCCGAGGCCAAAAGGAGAAAAAGATCGAAAGAGGTAGGAGTAGCAGCAACTATAAGTGCACCCTCCTCCTCCCCTACTCCACCTCCAACAGTAAGGGCATTCCTGCGGCGGGCGTCAAGAGCTCCGCCTTGAATGAAGGCAAGGAATTGGCTGCTCCTGCAGGAAAAAGCCCTTACTTGAGCACCTCCATGGAGGAAACCCCGCGCAACAACAGTAATGTCACTGCATCTTCCAAAACCTTCACGAAGGCCGCCGTAAAACACCTCAAGGTTGCCAAAGAAAGTGTGTGTTTGACGAGTCTTGGCCTTCACCTGCCTAAGATACATCTCCTAAAGGAGATGTATCTTAGTGACCCGTCCACCTTCCTGGAGAATGGACAATTACCTAGGAGGACAACTCTTCGGGAGGATGTACACATGTGGCCTAAGTGCTGTGGGTCTACACTCACCCTCCCTTCTCTACAGATACAGAGAGAAAATGCCTGAGCTTCAGATGATTATATGCTGTTTCTATTCTACAAAATAACAGAATTTTTTACATTTATTCCTCTTGAAGATCTGTGGTTCAGATCGTTCAGTGTTGGCTACGTAATAGGTAGTCAGTGAATGACACATGCATATATTTTATGATGTTATTATGACGCTGTTCATCATTATCAAAATTTCTATCAAATTTTGTATCATTTACGAAACCTCAATATGATTCATGTTATTTACGTTTACACGAAGCTGAAAGAAATATATAATGGGATCACAATTTTGGCATGCTCTCCATAATTTTCAAAACAAAAAACATATGTTTCTTATGTATAAAGAAAACATTTTCACTGAGTAATCACCTGAAGATCTTTTAGAGACAATCCATGATATCATTTACCGTGTGATTTCGTAAGAAACGATAATCTTTTGCCTGTCATTTGAGCCCGGTTTAATTGGCTTAAGCGCCATCCATGGCTTCCTGAACTTGTCCAATTCCACTGTTAAGTCTGAAATAATTGAGTTGTTTCGCGAATGCAATTATTTCTTTTCCAAATCCCTCAAATCAGCAACGGAGTCAGAGAATTAAGACTTATATGGACTTTGAAGATACATCAAAAGAAATAGTTAATATTACGAAACTTTCGAATTATATTCTCTATTTTGTGGAAGTGCTAGTTTTCAATCTATTGTTAGTCTACTCTTACTCTCAATTAAAAAAATAAAAATCCATTTTCTTGGTTTAGAACATGTTCACTAACTAAAGACTGGAAAGTTCACTATTACAGTACTGATGATTGTGATTACAGGAATAATTCTTTGTCATAACTTATAGACAAAACTTCAGGTTTTTATCGATTATTAATTAAAATTGAATATGACGAACTTTGATGTGTTTGGTTACAAATTACACTTTTTGGTACAATAAGGATTAAAATGATACTTTATTTGGTTGAAATTTATGATTGACGTTAATGTAATTCATTCATTTTGTCATTAGAAAATATGAAAAGCGGTTTCTCTCACACCCAACCCATGAGATGTAAAGAGAGAAAATTTTAAAATGCACCAAAAATATTGTTGAAAAGAATTCCATATAAGTGTTAACGAAATAAATTGTTGTTTTGGAAGAGTTTGGAAACATTTGAGGTGGCTCAGGAGCGGGAAGAGCATCAATTTTCAAATTTCAGTATCTCAAAACTAAGCACTATTCAAACTCAAGAGGCCCGAAAGTTGTAATTTCAAGAAAAGAAAGGTTTTGGTCTTCTACTTCTCCACTTGAGCCACTTATATAGTCTTTCTTAGAAACTTTCATTCATAAACTTTGACAAGAAATTGCAAGCATCACCCTCTACAAACTGGAAAAAGTTCATTCAGACACATGACTTATGAAAGTAACGAACAAAATGTAAAATGAATATAATTTCAATTCGTTTTTTGGTTCAGGTTTCATGCAATAATTATTTTTCAAATCCTCGTTTTACTTTGAATTGTCTGGAACAAATTTTGACAAAAATGAAAAACTATGGCCACCATTCCTCAAGAAAAATAAACTAGAGGAACAACAGAGTTAATTGATCTTTAATAAAGGTTGGGTGGATACCTGCCGACAAGTTCAGTCGTTATCAAAAAGGAAACGATCACTTCTAAAAATTATAATCACATTTCATAAGCTGTGTCTTCAAAGTAATAGAGAGATGTCAATAATGAAGTACCTAACACAACTGGTCCAAAAACTTCGAATATGTTCAAAACATTGGATTTCGTGCTATATCAGTAAATTCTGAAAAAAAATCTTTACTATCTGAATTCTGCCGGTAATTTCCTTTTTTATAACTCTTTGCTATTGTTGATGAACTATCCTCTAATTCAGTTGCTATCAACGTAATGAATTCTTGCATCGACCCTGTATCTACTCTACCTAATCCCTTTGAATATGCTAGTACTCATACCGTCTGATTGTTGAAAAAAAGACACAAAGGAAAGTAACCAATTAATGGTGGATAACTTCTACAAAACAATGCTATTTTAGGTGCATAATTTCAAATGGTATTCTCCATACCACCTGTTTGTACAAAACTCTGCCAGAGAACATTGTTTCTGAAATCAATTCAAACTTACCAACGTTAACCTACTGAAGATCATAAAAGAGAGTTGATCTGTGGAGAACTACCAAAATGAAGAATAGCCAAATCGCTATAAAAATCGAGAAGAATATACTTGATGTGGACATTTTTGGTGGTGATGCTGAACGCCAACAGCGGACTCTAACTTCAATTTTTTACCTCTACGACTTATATAAATATAGCCTCAATACCCTTCATTATTAATAAATGGAACTTTGAGCCAGAGAAGGTATAACCTCTTGATATTTAAGGAAGACCGAAAGATCAACCAATTTTTTTTCCCACAGAAATTAGGGTTTCTGCCTTGTAAACATCGTGTGTATGCATATTTCACCAATATGAGTAGTAAATAAGAGAGGTCCAAGTTCACACCTACGGTGCTTCTGAAGGGGTTAGTGAAAGCAAATAACTTCACAATCAGAGAATTAAGGATAAACTGCTTACCAATCCCAACAAGTTTAGATCCTGCTGGACTGTAGCTGAAGTTGTTAATCAAACTTCACAAAATCCACAATTCCACCACTAACATTAGTGGATGGTTCAATTCCAACAACAGCCATAGAAAAAGCAAATCTTCTAGCTGAACAATTTGCATCCCACAACATTATTCGATTTTCTGAGAAAGGCATGATCAACTTTCCCCACATTAGAATTCACAATGCCAGTAATTACTACTAGAAAACGTCTAGTCAAGCGAATTTTGAAACAACTCAATATAAACAAAGCGTCTGGTCCTGCCCGTTACCGTACCTAAAAAGTGCGCAAATGAACTAGCACCAGTATTTTGCAGACTTTTCAACTTGTCTCACAAGGAAGGGGTTTTTCCTTCTTGTTGGAAGATTGCTCGCGTTCAGCTTTCCAAAAAGGACAAAAAATCTTCCAAATAACTATAGACCAGTCGCTTTGCTATCAGTAATATCAAAAATCATAAAGAAAGTCGTAAACCGCCATATCCTTAAATATTTGGAAGGCTTTAACATCTTCAGCGATCATCAATATGGCTTTCGGAAACAAAGATTCATAGGCAATATTCTATCGTATCTCACCCATATTTGGAATAACAAAATCGAGAAACATGGAGAGCCAAGAACTGATATCTCTAAGGCCTTTGACCGTGTGTGGCATGAGGGTTCGCTGGCCAAACTTTAATGCTATGGTTGTCGGATCATTTTTATGTATGGCTCTCCAGTTTCCTGAAAAAACGTTTTCTGTAAATGGCCGTCTCGAATACTTTTACCGTCAATGCTTGTATCCACCAGAGATCCATATTATCTCCAACGTTCCGACTTGAGTATTTGAAAACACGAAGAATTCCATATATTGCTTTGCTGACACATGTCTCATCATTCAATTTGGATTCCAGGACATCAGCTGTGGATGCAGATCCTCACCGGCAGCGGGAGGTTGCATATCTTAATGAGGATCTAGAAGCGATTTCGAATCGGGGTGAAACTAACCAGGTTTAATTCAATGGTAACCGCGGATGGTAAGTGAACTTCTATTGTGAATGCGGGTTCGTTATCTACTTTGGAACGACACGTTTACTGGCTATCATTTGAGTCGTTCAAGAAACCACACATTGGAATTTTAGTCCTTGGTAATTCTTAGATCGAAAAGGATTTCGACTTTGGAGGGTTGCCGCTTTTATGGAAACACAGCTGATAGAGATTAAATTATCTTAATATTAGGCTTCAATTGCTAAGCCAAAATCGTACTGTCCAGCAATGTTATGAATGAAAATCTTTCACAAAATAACCTCCAAGCAATATGACACTGATTCAATTAATATTTTCATCTAATAGATTATCCTATACGTATGGTAGGTACTTTAGCTAATATATTTTTAGCACATAATTTGATGAGCTTGCTTCAAATAATACATTTTTTAATATATTCTATTAAATTCTATTATTGGAATTTTAATATTCTGTTGAGTTGCCAAAGCTGTAAATAAAATCAATTCCAAATGTCTATATCTAAAAGTGAAGTTTTACGAGGCTCTACGAGGAAAATAAAATTGTAGTTAAGCATTTCGAAACCATTTAAATCTCAATTCACGCCAACTATGCAACAAAGTACACATATACTTTGAGAATCAGTTTCCCAAGAGACTGAATTAAATTCCAATTGCAAAGATATTTTCTTGTTGCGCGCAGGATTCGAGGAATTCAGCCCCTTTCATATAATTTGCAGTCCGCTTCTAGACAAACAACTGGAATCATCAAGTTGGTGACATGTGAAACCCTAGAGAAATGAATATCTATCGAGAAGCGCTCGAATTGATTTTTCTTCGTAATTAAATTATTAGAAATGGCTGAAAAGTTGTACGAGTATCAGGGGTGCATTGGGAGATTTCACGTTTTCCGGGATGATGTACGAGAAAAGTACATATCTTGGAGAGAAAGTAATTCGGGTGGAGTGGTGGGGTGGGTGAAGGAGAAACTTTTTTCGAAAAAGTCTAGTGATGGAAATGAAAGTACACGAGAGGATTTCTCCCATATTTACAGGTAAGATTACTAAAACTGAAAATTATATAATATGAGCGCAGACACTGAACTATAGCTATTACTTTTCTTATATTTTTTCGGAAAGATAATGGCAAGTCTATCCAACAACTTCTTTTTCAATTCATTTTGAACGAACTCATTAGGATAGAATTATACAGAGTTCTGAAATGAAGATCATTAATATTGATATTTGGAAAACTGATAGATTTTGATTTCTACCCTTTTATCATTAATTTCAATGAAATGTCATTATTCATCTCGAATATTTCATAAAGTATATTCGAAATTGCAATTTTGATAATTCAATTGATCAATTTATCAATGACGTTATACCATTCGAAAATATGATAACATATATGATTAACAATAATCGAATAATGTTTTAGAGTGGAAATATATTGGTGTTTTGACTCAGATTATGAGATTTTGCACTACTTCAATACTATTCATTCTTTTTCGAATTGTCACAAATAGAAAACTACACCTAATATTGAACACTTACTTCAGTCTCACTATTTTGAAATTTCTACTCAACCCCATAAGTGAAAGTATCACAACAAAGAACTATTTCAGCTTGGTTTCCAAGATCTGTTTAAATCTGTTCAAAACCTGTGTTTCCATTAATCAGCTGTCGCCCCTATACGAACGACAACTCTCAGAAGTTGAGAAACTTGTGTGAGTTTACCTTTTAACGTGTGATTCCGAACACATTTATCATATCATTTTTTGGTTCCAGTTAAATGAAAAACAATGTATCTAAATATTCATTTTTGCAAATTTTTTTCCTGAGTTGACAGTTCAATTAACAACTTGAGAGAATACTTGATTATTCTAACAAACCAAGAACATTTTAGCATTTTTCATGTGCTCAAAAATGTTCTACTAGTTTTTAAATACCTTACTGAAGAGTACATGATTTCAATAATACCTAATGATAATGTATATGAGGTGTGTTTGCATATAATTCAAGCAATAATATGTTAAACAACTCCTCGTCCTGGATTACTGTAGGTCGACTACTTCGGGGCTCATCTTCGAGGCTAACATCTCCAAAATAAAATTTTGCTAACCAACGTCGAACATTAACAGTATATTGTCAAACATCTGGTTAATTTTTCTGGCTGTTTCGACAGCGCTTTGATTCAATTAAAATTAATTGAGAAAAATGTGCCGAAAATCGTATAACAACATGTAAGTATATAGTATGAGCTAAAAAGTGGTAAAAACTCAAAATTTGGAAAAATGAACAGCATCAATGTATAGAGTATAGCATTTTCTATCGATTAGTATATATTATTACACAGTAGAATGAATATTTATACATGATATCAACACGGACAAAACTTTTGTAAGAGGTACACAAGACATTTTTCATTTGGAAAAAACAGGATACTGTTGTGACACTCTTCGATATTCGGGGTATGCATTTTTTGTTGAATCCAAGCAATGGCTTCTTTGTAAAGGCTCACACGTTGGATCTTCCCAGTTTGAAAGCGGCTCAAAGAATTGTCATGCCCACTTTTTCCAAGATCCAAATTATACATTCCATTACTTCGAACCTCCATTGTCTAATATAATATAAATTGATTTAAAATCCCTGAAAGAATCTGTAAAAATTTAAAAAAGATTAGCTGAAAAATATAACAATTATATCAAGCAAAATCAACTGAAAAAATCAATGAAATAAAATACAAGCAACAACCAAAAAATCAAAAAAATTGAACTATTAACAGATGAAAATAAAAAAATATTTCATTAGCAAGAAGTGAAATTTAAAAATTAAAAGATTCCAAACCAAGTTACTTCACGACGTTTCAATTGTTAGTATCCACAATCGTCCTCGGGTTTTTTGTCTAATATAATTGTTACTTTTCAGCTGACTTTTTTAATTTTTTACAGATTATTTCAGGGATTTCAAATCAATTTATATCATATTAGACAATGGAAGTCCGAACTAATGAAATTATTCATGAAACATGGTCAAATACCTTCAAACATCCAAATTCTACTTTTCAGTGATAATTTTTTCAAGGTCGAAAATTACTAAATTGTTCAATGACATATCTGAATGNACTGTCGTAGAAACATTTGTATTTTGTTATGAGTTTGAGAAGAGTTTATATTTTCCAAAAAAATAACAATTGAAAGTGCTTGAACCCTAAATCAAACAAAGAAAATAAAACACCAAAATCAATTGAAATGTCCAATCATCAGAGGCGTTTCCGATTCATTTCATATTGTTTCAGGAGAAAAACTAGAAAGGAATTAGTGAGAGTATCAGCAGCTGTAATGGGTATTGAATTCTCATATGCTGCTGAAACGGCGTTTGTATCTCCAACTTTACTTAAAATTGGCGTCGAACACAAACATATGACTCTCGTTTGGGCTTTATCACCGCTTATTGGATTCTTTCTCACTCCAATATTAGGATCGCTAAGTGATAGATGTCACTTGAGCTTCGGAAGAAGGCGCCCTTTTATTTTTATCATGTCAGTGGGGGTTCTCATCGGTAAGTTGATTTTGTCTTTTAGAATTTGTTATCGACTAATTCAGGACTCTATATAAACAGTGGTAGAGTTTGGTACTATAATTGCCTTAATGTTTTTAGTATGAAAAAGAATGTTTCAAGTACAATATTTAGGTACCTCGATCAAAATTATCTGGTTGTTAGAGTAAAATTTTACAGAATCTAAGTTGTAATAATTTCTTTTCACGAACTTTTATTCAACTTGCTCTGCAGCAAGATAAATATCTCCGAACCGGATATAATAATGCCAGGACAGACGATTTCGCTTTTTGCTTCGATAAGTTTGTTGGGGGTTAAAATGGACACCAATATATCCTGGCACAATCATCTCGCTGGAATTGCAAGGGATGTTTCTAAAAAGCTTGGAATACTGTTCCGAACTAGAAAACTATACACAACTCAGCAACTGTTAATGCTCTATAAAGCTCAGATCAGACCTTCTTTGGAGAAGGGTTCTCATTTATGGAGCTCAGTTGGAGACACGAACAACACGTGCAACCTTGACAGCGTGGGATATCGAAGAAAGGGATTTGTCTCTCTTCATGATACTTTCATAGATACTTTCATGGAAAGTATTCAAGTAACTTAGCATATTTGATTCCACCAAGAGCGGTACATATCAGAAATACGCGACGGACTGTGGCTGCTCATCGTTTTGAGGTTAAACTCAGTACACCTCGAACTTCACTGTTCAAGAACTATTTCATTTGGAAAAAAGTGTTTATGTGGAATAAACTTCCTGAGAACGTTTTTCCAAATGGATTCAATCTCCGCTCTCAGAGCAGCTTAAGGATTTTCCTGTTATGCTTGTGTTTTGTCCTTTGAAGAAAGGTATGTATACTCGTATACGCAAATCTAGGGGGAAACTCAAGAATTCTCTCTCTGTCTTTCTCGCTCACAGTGTCTTCTATCAAGCAAGAACCATATCGAAATTTGGAAAGTTCTTCATACATTTGATAAGATATGTGTCAGTTTAGGTCAAATCTTGCAACTGAATTTTAGTATTGATGACAATGCTAATTAGCCAAGTGATGCCATTCTTCGTCCAATATGGTGGACCATCCAAAATGGCTTACTGGTTTTTGCATGAAAGGATTTGCTGAAAATAATACGAAGAATTGCATGAAGTCACGCTAAATCCAATACGTCGGACCGCCCAAACTGGAGCATTTTCAGGCACTCCCCTCAATGTGGGTTTCAAATCAAAGTTGCTGCAAAGAATACGAAAAATAAAAAAGTCACTTATCCAATATGGTCCGTCAAGATAGTGCACTGGTTTTTCAGCCCCCTCCCCCTGAATGATATGGTTATCAAATGAAAGAGTTTTGCCGGAAATACAACGAAAATAACGTGAGGTCTCCCCAATCTTGTTAGGCTGACCCGGTTCCTGTTATATTTTTGAAATTTATAAATGTGTTTTACCCATGGTAATTATACAATTTTCACACTATATATTTTATTCAAGACGCGTTTCACTAGCAAGTTGCTTCATCAATTGGAGTGGTACTCATATCGTATTCTCAATATGAATTTAGAGTTCAAACCAATTTTGAAGTTGATAACTAATTATCAGAAGAGTATTTTTCGAATTATTTTCCTATGTTCTATCGTTCACTTTTACCAAACCACTCAACTAATATTATGAGAAAAAGGTTTTGGAAACAACATACCGATACATTTTCAATACTCCCTTCAATAATATTATTAACAGAGTAGACCAAACTAAAGATCTTGGAAACTATTTTGATACAAAAATGACTTTCAATCATTTAGATTACGTAATAAATTCCTGCAGCAAAACCTTGAGATGTTTCTACAGAATATGCAAACACTTCAACGATGAGGCGGCAATCAAATCTATTTACTATGCATTTGTTTACAGTAAACCTAATTTTGGAAGTTTCATATGGAACCCCCGTTATAATACACATAAATTACGATTAGAAAGACTACATAACAGATTTGTAAGGTTTTTACACTTCAAAATAAGACTTATGTAACACTTGGCATTAGCGAAATTCAATTTCACTACAGAATACAACTTCTAGAACAACGAAGAACTGCTATGACTCACCCAATCTAGTGTCGAATACTGTAATAGCGAAGATGTTTTCTCTATAACGTTGAATTCCTTTGAAATAACTATGAAAAAAATGTTCAACACGTAGCAAAAATAATTCCTTTCTTTCTCAAAAAAAAAAAAATCTACGTCGTAACATTTAATTTTAGCACCTTTAATTTCATAAGGTTTGCAGGGCGAACTAGTATAGTATTTTATTCATTTCAGCTAGTGAATTGTAACATACCAATCATTCCTTACAAATTAAGTTGTTGTTTAATCAATTTCGGAGTTAATACAAAAGTTAGTATAAATTATGTAGTTATTACAATGTCAGAAGTATTCTCTTTCACCGAATTTTTGTAACACATAGTGTAAAACAGGTGTTTATCAATATTCCAGCATAAGTGATGCGATCACAGAAAGGGACGTTTTGATTTTGTGACATCATTAACAGTATCGGTGGGCACAATGTATATGACCGAAATCGATTATAGGTTTATATCAGGTTTGAGAGATTAAAACGAAGAGTATATTTTGTGTTTGACTACACATAAAGAACAATTGCAGAGTTGATTTTATTCTAAATTTTGTTCTATTTAGAAATATAGACGTGTAGGTTTTTTCTGCGATGCCTAATGCATACTCAATGGTCCATTTGGAACACATTAGATTACCTATAAATATTCATTTTTTCTGTCTTGAAAAAATATTCATTTGCCAATGACCAGCCCTATAAAACTCAAACGTGACATAAGTATGCACCTTGACAAGGAAATTTCACCCCTGAGGATGATACTCGAGGACACTTTCATAATTCTCAGTATGTTGCATTTTTGTTAGATATGAAAGGACATAGGACAAGGATAGAAATTCGAAAACCATTTTTGTGGTTTTTGAATTTCTATCTCAGAGGGGACAAAAAGTGAGCTAGACCTTATCATGGTGGTAGCCTACTCCCACCATTTCCGACATTAGGAATCCGAAACTTGGTGTAAACTATAGAAGGAAACATTTCGATACCAAACATAAACCGCGTACCTACAAAATGTACGATTTCTTAGGAGAGATAAAAAACATTTTGAAAAATTGAGTTGTCCTTCTATAGTTTGTGTATATTTATTTCTTTCAAATATTTAGCATGATTTGATTACAGTAACATTTAGAATTTCGAGGTTATTTTCTGAGCTGAGCATTCACCCACCTTTAGAATTGTGAAATTTGCAAAAATGGAAACTTCAGATGTAAATTTCATTTTTGACCACTTATCATGCTCATTTTTCTCAATCAAATGAACAACTTCAGTTTCGATATGTGATGTCGAAAATGAACCCTTGATCAACACCTATACCTTGTTTTTTTTTCTAAATTTTCCGATAATGGGTGGGAAGGGGTCAGGAGTCAGGACTCTCTCATAGTTCGAAACATCTGGTCGAATTGATTTCGATCAATTATTGAAACCACATTCAACATTCCTTCACATCAATTATTTTGGAAATTATTGATTTTACTTGCAAGTACGAGTAATTGTGTGAAATGAAACTGAAATATTGAACTGCTGTTAGTATCCAAACGAAAATCTGATTGAAATATGCATAGCATAGGTGGTTGTGGTAGACTGCTACAGATTGTTCAACAGATTAATGAAATAACAGAAAAGTGAGAAAACTGTAATTTCTTTGAGTAAGGATTCCTGAAGATATATTTATTAAAATCGATCTGTAAAGTTAATACATTGGGCCCGAGAGTGAAACCCTTTAATTTATTTTGAAAATTCTACAAATTCACGTTCGTTAATAAATGTTGAATATTTTGGTGATCACCAACATTTGTGAAGTCGCACTTGTAACTCATCAAGATTCCTTCAAGGTTTTATATTGCATTCCAGGAAAACCATATTCATTGTTTAATTTGTTTGTTTGGAATGCTTTCAGATTCAGTGCAAATAAGTCAACCATTCCTTAGAATGATAAGTATTGACAAGAGGTACGTTATCAGTTACTGTGAATTCTGTAGATGTCATCCAAATAAGATCATTCAATTACGTGAACCTTTACAATACGTCTGGGTGAGTTTTCATCGAAACCCATGACCAATAGTCACCGATAGATCCCAATGAAAATTTCAATAATGTAATCCAATTTGACTGAATTTGCCTAGAAAAGTTATTCATTTGGCGTGTTCGTCGGGAGGTGTCGCTAGTGTGGAATAATTAGAAATTCATACTCTCTTAAGTCTATGTACCAAAATGATGGTTTAACATCATAAACTTCACGTATAAGAAAAGAACTAAATTAGAGATTTCGCTGTTGAGGACTTTAACGAATTCAGTGTAACAATAGTAAAATTTTTCACAACAGTTCACAAATTGAAACATATCACCTAGGTCGTCTTTCAGGAAATGAATCATTGAAAGCGGATAATGAAGCATTCAACGAAAAATTTGAAGACTAATTTCCATTTTTGAACATTATTTTTTGAATTACCTGGTATATCTGAATACTGTTTGATACAATAGTGCCTATCATGGAACTTATTCGGTACAATTCAATCTTACATTGATTCCATACCTTTCATTCTCTTTCAATTTTTCAATTTTTTGAAGGATGACAGTAGAATAAATTAATTCCTTATTTTCCACTAATTTTAATTCACATTGATATCTGCTTCGATGTAAAATGTATTTCTGAAACATTGAAAAGAAACAAAACGTTTTAACTGAAGTATGTAGTATAAAGTACTTCAGTTAAATTGAATAAATAATTTTATTTAGTAAAGCAAAGGTGAAAGAACAGTTTTATTCACCTGATCGTCTACATTCTTGTTTAATGTTTTTCTCAAATGAGAACAACTATGTGAATAGTGACTGAAACTACATCATATCTTCCGTTGATGAAAATCACTCTGGAACGTAATGCATAAGAGTTTCTTATAATGTAACATTTTATCATAGAAATAGTTCATCGCAATATTTCAATCGAGTATGAGTCTTCAAAACCTGACTCCATTCCATTATTTTCCAGGGCTAATATTAGTTCCAAATGGTGAAAAATTGGGATACATGATGGGTGATCCAGTGCCTCCGAATGCGAATTACTCCCAAATAGCTTCCCATAGGACAAGTGCGGCAGCTATCGCAGACCACAAAGTGAAAGATCTTGATGTTGCTTCTGATAAAATCAACAATTCGAAGTCTATTTCTAGCTACGAATCTATTGAACTTCCCTTGTATAACAACTCCCATCCATGGGGTGTATTCTTCACTGTGCTAGGAACAGTTTTGCTCGATTTTGATGCAGATTCTTGCCAAAGTCCTGCAAGAGCATATCTTCTTGACGTTACTATTCCAGGTAAGAACTCATTCAATTATCTACTATGATATTAGAGAGAATTAACGTTATGGATAAGTTGTTGAATTTGATTTGAGAAATTTATTGATGAATATTATTCCACCCTAATATATTTTGTATATATTTCTCTATATTACATACTTTTTCCATCTTCGCTGTTTTGAATAAATAAATGTAATCTCATATGTAACCGAAACACAAAATTCTTTCGATCTGAACTATTTCAAATTTCATTTGGGAAATCAAATATGATAAAGCAGGAACGGATTCTCCCAAAGCTGTGTGTTGTTGAAATCTTCTTTTAGTCACTCCAACTTGTTTGGTGAAAATATATTGATGGTATTCAACATAAAGATGAGTAATTATGACCAATTATTTGAAAATTCATCTACTTACTTTCATTTCACCATTTGTGTTATCAGCAATTTCAAAATTAGACAAGTAAAAATTTTATTAGATATTTCAAGCGCATTCAACAACCAACCAATGATAAAATCTGTATAAAAATATCAGCTAACCCGTCACGAAACAGAGAAACATCATTCAATTTTTTGTTTAAATATTTTCGATTGAATTTGGTTGAAATATGTTTGAAGAAACCACAGAAAAAACAGTATATCAAGTCATCAAATTACAATTTATGATTCAAGAGATAAAAACAACGATTGTACTTTATCTTTTGCTAGAAATAGCACAACTTAATTCAAATTTTCAGAACTGAATAATGGAAAGGATGGGTATGATACCTACTGCAGATGTGAAATCACTGAAACATTTATCATAAATATTAGGCTGAAAAAGAACCCTATGATTAATCGCAAGTTATTTATTGATGCAACATCACACAGTTAGGGTAATTTTTCTTTTCAAGAAAAGGGATTGTTGGATAACATGAATATTTTTTTTCTAAAAAACCAATTATTTTCTTGTCAACGTTTCTTTTTCTTCATAAAAATACCTCTCGTAAAACTCATAACTCTTTTTTTTTACAAGCCATTCTCGTTTGAATCACTCACCGGAAGGAAGTTTTTTTGTGTTGAAAATGTAACTATTTCAAAAACATTTGATATATCAGACATATGATAAAAATAAAAAAACGAATAAATCTTTGTAGATTTTTCATTCATCGCTAAAGTTATAAAATTATGGAGACAACAACAATAATACACAAATACATGACTTTATCTATGATATGACCCTTATTGAAAAAAAATTACTAAACCAGTTAATTCTTATATCAATATCAGGTATATATTTCAGGTTGAAATATTTTCTATCCTATCGAATATTCTAGTGATCATTTGCCATAAGGTTATCATAATAAAGTAATTTTATGATCAATGATGTTTCGTAACACTCTTCCTTTTTTTTTAGGTTTCTTTTCACATCTTCAGATACTAATGTAGTCAAACGATGATTGAAATTCATTTTCAAAACTTATAAAGTTGAAGATGAGTATATTTCGAGTCCGCGCAAGACATACAAACTTTGATATCAATACAATAAAGACGTTATGATATATAAGACAGCAAAAGGTACTCTGTCATCTTAATGTACTTTATCATGAAAAACATTATCATAATCAAATTAAATCATAAACATATTCCATCATATTAATTTCTTATCATATTCGTGAACCATTAAAACCGAGTTACAAACAATTCGAAATGCATCAAAATTGTAAATATTTCTAAAATTATTCGATCACATTCGTACTTGATCATAATCGTACTCGCTGAATCTTATAGTTCGTGGGCTTGAGTACAATATTAAAGACGTTTTTAATCATTTCTGTTTTTGATGAATTCAGTGGAGCATTATGGAAATAAAAATGAATTCACAACATATAAATGTTCAACTACTCTTTGATCATAATTGTAAATAATTTTTGTTTTGTCAATAACAATGTTAAACAATTAGCTAACCTGACGATTTACATCAAACATAAATAGAGAGCTTTAGGTTCAAAGTTACTATACAGAGTGTGTCCTAATTACGATAGGAAACTCCAGAGGGTGGTTGGTTAGGTCGTTTCAAGTGTTCATGAACATATGTCTGGAGTTGCTTCGTTTCTGAGATACATGGCGTTAAATTAAAAAAAAGGAGTTTTTATAAAATATCATAAATATCCTTACTTCGATTTGGTTGAGATTTGCTACAGTTATTTGAAGTAATAAGGCTCTTATGCAGCCCTAACTTGATTGAAATTATTAGGTCCAGTAGAGTCTCAGTGAGCACCAAAGCCAACGATATTGTAAAAAAAAGTACGTCACTGACTTGTATTTGTAATTTTTAATTTTTTTAGATCATTCAACTATAAATTCAACTTTTTTGTCGCTTGTGTTTTCTTCATATCCAATTTCGTTTTGATATCATGAACACCTTCTTTAGAGACCAGCTGACAGTGAGAGTGTTGTCAAATCAGTGAAAGTCTGAGTTGTCAATTAACAGTGATTCCATCATGAATAACTTTACTAATGCTGAAATGACTGATGCACTTATCTATGGATGAGCAATTGGAAATGCAAAAGAAGCCCGGAGAATTAACCAGGACAGATATCTTAAGGGGGTAATTCCATGTCCTGAAACATTTAGAACGCTGCATGCAAGATTATATGAAACTGAACGTTTTAATAAAAATTCAGGTGATGGAAGACCAGCAACCGTAACAACGCCTGAACTAGAAATGAAAAAAGAAACCTCCTATACCCATATCATATACCGCTTGTAAAAAAAAGTAGGTCACTGACTTGTATTTGTAATTTTTTATTTTTTTAGATCATTCAACTATAAATTCAACTTTTTTGTCGCTTGTGTTTTCTTCATATCCAACTTCGTTTTTGACATCATGAACACCTTCTTTAGAGACCAGCTGACAGTGAGAGTGTTGTCAAATCAGTGAAAGTCTGAGTTGTCAATTAGCAGTGGTTCCATCATGAATAACTTTACTAACGCTGAAATGACTGATGCACTTATTTATGGATGAGCAATTGGAAATGCGAAAGAAGCCCGGAGAATTAACCAGGACAGATATCTTAAGGGGGTAATTCCATGTCCTGAAACATTTAGAACGCTGCATGCAAGATCATATGAAACTGAAAGTTTTAATAAAAATTCAGGTGATGGAAGACCAGCAACCGTAACAACGCCTGAACTAGAAGTGAAAAAAGAAACCTCCTATACCCATATCATATACCGCGGGATACCGCGCTTGGATCGCGGAATACCGCGCTTGGATCAATCCAAGATTGATGTTTTGCAGGTGGTTGATTCATACGATAATAATTTTTCACCAAACATTTTATTTACGGACGAAGCAAATTTTTCCACGAGATGCTATTATGAACTTATACCGTGACCATTTTTGGGCCGACGAAGATTTCCATGTTATGAGAAAAAGTTGTTTTCAGCAACAATGTTCGCTGAACCTTTGGGTGTGAATGATTGATGACTACCAAATTGGCTTTTTAGTGTAGAATTCACCAGCACCAGGTAAATTCTACACGGACTTTTTACTAGATCGTTTACCCATTTTGTTAGAAGAAGTGCCGGTACTTATAAGATGCAGCATGTGGCTCATCTCAGTGTATGTGTGATTGATGACTTATTTATTTTGTGGTAATTCATGATCACTTTAATGAAATGAATCAAAATACTTATGTCTAATTACCACTAGTCAATCTCGGTTATATCGGGAGTTTTTAGGTAAGATTATATGGGTTGTTAAACTAATAAATTCAAGAGTGAAGACCTACATAAATCGAGTTGCTCGTTTGAGGGTATATATTTCTGGTTTTTAATTGAATTATTAATTTCCATAGCTTCTAATAAATTCATTGTTTCCCTTTATTACATATGTGTAGAATGTTGAGGTTATCTTTACTTATTTTGTATTTCGATTCTCAAAGATGTTCATACATTGTAGATTTTTTGTCCAAACAGACGTGTTCACGGAGCCTTACGTCAAAATTTCTACCGGTTTGGCTTGTATATACTGCAGATCATTCAGTGTTCGCCACAATCTACTCTATATATTCCTGATTTTTTCATTCTCGTTTGGGTTTTGCATTAAATAGAGTTTATTGCAAATATATTTTCCAAAAATAACTTGATACAAATATATTTCAGAGGACCATGCCCGAGGTTTGAGTACCTTCACTATAATGGCAGGTTTGGGAGGATTTTTTGGATATGCCCTTGGAGGTATAAATTGGGATGCAACTTTTATAGGTCAGTGTCTATATCCGTACTTTCATTATCAATATCGTTAATATTTTTAAGGGGAACTTCTTGGTGGACATGTCCGAGCAGTATTCACGTTGATCACCATTATATTTGTAGTTTGTGTTGCATACACTATAACAAGTTTCAAGGAAATGCCTTTGAATTTGTTAGAGTTGAAAGAAAATGATTTCCAGTGTTTGGAAAATTACAACGTTAAAAATGAATGATTAGAAAGCCAAAACTTGTCTTTCCCACTAATTTACTGTTGTGCAACTTTCATCAAACTCACAGGTTCTGTGATGCATTCTATATAAAAAAATATTTCAATCATGAATATTCGCAAGCAAACACGATGATAGTCTTATTTTATGTCTTATTTTATTTTATGATAATCTAAGATATACTTCATTCCAGGATCAAAACTCAGCAGTGGATATATCTATCCAGGAAAATGTACCCAAAACACCGCGAAAAAGCATCAGTCCGGATCCTAATGCCTCATTAGTTCTGTACCTTATGAGCATCGTATACATGCCTCACTCTATAAGAATGCTGTGTTTGACAAATTTGTTCTGTTGGATGGCACACGTTTGCTATTCTCTTTACTTTACTGACTTTGTTGGAGAAGCGGTTTTTGGAGGCAATCCAACGGTGAGTTGTCAAATTGGTTTTTATGATTTTGTCAAAATTAACTATACCTAGAGACAATGAATACATTTTATATGGCGTCATTCAGTTGATTGTGAAAAAAAAATTGAAGTTTGGAACAAAAGTATTAGAATTGATAATGAGATGAAACAATTGAAAATTCTTTCCGGTTTAATCGGAATTGATCTCACCTCTGGAATTTTTACTAGGACCTTGTATATTTTTTAAACCATTAAATAGGATCCAACAATATAACACAAGTGGCCATTTCTATTCAAACAGGCGGCGTAAGAGCCTTTTTTCCAAATTCAATTTGGCGGCAATTTGACGCCATCTAGGCAAATAATTTGAACAACTTGATGTAGTGAGAAACAGAAGACTGAGATTGAATTATTTTTAAGAAAAAAAACCAGTGTTTCACTATTTTATCTACGTTTTATATATTTTTACTTCATCTATCACGAAAATCGTGATAGAAAGTAGTATTTTTTCAAGTCACACATCAAAGAATTCCCTTTGTATAAAAAAGATAATGTAACACTAATTTTTTTGTTCCAGTGAAAATGTGAATGTTTCAATACTGCTCTTTCTCAACTATTCAATCACTTTTTCTCTTTTTCACTGGTGAAAAAAACCGCTCAATACCTTTCACATTTTGACAACAATAAATCCTTCCTTATTACACATCTACACCTTGAAACGAACCTACATATTGAAAATTTCAACCTCCGAAAATATAGCACTACAGAGGAACAATCATGAAAAGGTTACTTTTTCCCCACGGCTGGCCCCCCAGTTGGAATTTTGAAAAATCCTTCCTTATATATCTACTACATAGAACGAACCTTCATATAAAATATAGGGTTACGTGGAAACAGAGACAAAAAGGTATAATTTCCATATGAAAACGTCACCCTTTTATGTTCAGGGGGCGCCCCAGTTGGGATATTTAAAAATCCACATCCACAACATAAAACAAAACCACATACGAAATTTCAGTCACCGAAAATATAGCAGTACGAAGAAACAGTGATGAAAAGGTAATTTTCATATGTAAACGCACCCCTTTTACCCCCCTCCCCCTCACCACGGGGAATATTTGAAAATATTTTCATAGTGCGCATCTAAGACCTAGGAAGCACCTATATACAAAGCGGATAATGAAGCATTCAACGAAAAATTTGGAGACTAATTTCCATTTTTGAACATTATTTTTTGAATTACCTGGTATATCTGAATACTGTTTGATACAATAGTGCCTATCATGGAACTTATTCGGTACAATTCAATCTTCCATTGGTTCCATACCTTTCATTCTCTTTCAATTTTTCAATTTTTTGAAGGATGACAGTAGGATTAAATCCTTATTTTCCACTAATTTTAATTCACATTGATATCTGCTTCGATGTAAAATGTATTTCTGAAACATTGANCGATTACTATCACAGGTTGAAGACTCTGAAGATCCAACTGAATTTTATGTAGAATAAGTAACACAGCAAGGAAATACAAAACCATAAAAAGGGGTTTCGTTAATTTTTTTCTACAGGTTCCAGATTTATTGAAGATAGCATATAGCAAATAAAAAAAGTCAACTCACCAAATGAAAAAGAGTTTAGAACAATGTGAAACCGTAGTTGATGCAGCAGACTGGTCAACAAATTGTTCGAGTATTAAATCGGGTCATTATTATACTTTGACTATATATAGAACGACGTCCTAGTTGGTTCTGTTCTCTTTCAATTGTCATTTGACACTGGTCACAAAAACAAGTCCTGAATTTATATAAAAATCATCAGATTTTAACAAGAAAAACTCAAAACATTAGATTGGCTTCCCTATTTTTCGAAGTCAGAGTGAAATCAGATATTTTCAATATAATGAAAATTCGCAAATTAGGATATTTTGTCAGTTGACACCTGCATTTTTCTTGGACTTCGTGATGATATACTACAGGGACAGATTACTTTTTCAATACACTTACCAAACTTGAGATTTGCATTGAATAATCACCTCAATATTATAATGAAAAATTCGTATCATTGAAAAAAATTGTACCTGGATATCACATATTTTTTATTTTTTTACGGTAAATGTTACATACGGTAAATTGTGTAACTAACCAATATTGGCAAATTTCTCTACACTATCACTATTCTCATCATCTACTTCGATCAACATTTTTTCGTGGTCTGTGTGAGAGAATTGGTCTTGAAGCCTAACATGTATTTACCTTTTCTATGTGATCTCTTGAAGTTTGATGTTATGTTATGGTAAATAATAAATCATTATTATTATTATTATCTCTGATTATGTGAGCGTTTCAGTGAGTGAAATGGTATTCAGTAATAAATATGACTTTCAGGTCAGGACTATAACTTCGAAGATAAACATTCAAAGAATTTGAAGCCCTAATAACCAGGGACTCAACAGCATTCCGATTACTACAAACGGCTGCAGACAATTTGAATAGTATGTCTCGTAAGTGATCATTTGTATGTGTCGAATATTCAATATTCAATATTTATAGTTTTGTTAGTGAAGTCGTCTATCATGTATTGCTATAGTAACGTAGAGATGGCTGACATGCATTTCATTTATGGACTTGCTGATGACAATTCCTTGGAAGCTAGGCGGTTGTATAGTGAAAGATTTCCTAATCGTTATGTGCCTAATAGAAAATCCTTCCAAAGTATACATAAACGACTTCATGAAACAGAAACATTGAAGCGAAATGGAGGACCAGGAAGTCCAATGACAGTGAGAATGGTGGAAGTAAAAAAGAACGTGCTGGCCATGATAGAAGAAAATCCAGGTACCTCTACTCGAAAAATTGTAAATACAAGTAAAGAGACGATTTGGAACATTCTTAGATATTATTTGTTGTACCCATACCACATACAACGAGTTCAGGCACTTCTTCCTGCAAATTGTCTTCCACGTATTGCATTATGTCAATAGCTTTTGCGTACATTGGTTCAAATCCCTCAACTACTGACACTTATTATTTTTATCGATGAAGCCAGTTCCGTAAGAAATGCCATAAGGGATTTCCACAATCACCATGTTGAAGATCGCTTTCAACATCAGTTCTCGTTGAGTTTTTGGGTGGAAATTGTAGGTGACTTCATATAATTGGACCGGTATTTCTGTCAGGAAGACTTACCGGCGAGGTATACTGCAACTTTTTGGAAAAAACGCTACCTCAGTTTTTGGGGGATATACCATTGGTTACAAGAAATGCAATATGGTTTATGCACGATGGTACACCAGCGCATTTTAGCATATTGGCTCGAGAGTTTTCAACGGAGATCGCTGGATTGGTCGAGGTGGACCTCACTTATGGCCTGTCCGATCACCGGACTTTAACCCCTAGATTATTTCCTATGGGGCCACCTAAAGTCATTAGTTTATACTACTCCAGTGGAAGATGTGGAAGATTCGAGAAATCGGATAACTGCTGGGTATCACGCAATCAGAAACGATCCTAGTGTTTTTGAAAGAGTTCGGGAGTCGATGAAAACAAGATTGGATCCTTTCATCCGAGTGCTCCTTATCTTCGAGACAAAGTTAAACTGCCCATCAAAAATCATCAAAGGACAAAATATCCTTAAAATAGTCCAAGGAATAGTCCCTTACATTTTTGCCGCCTGTTCAATAAATACCCTGTATGCAATATTTGTTCAAGGCGATAGAAGGAAGTACATTACGAGATTTATATGAATCTGGAGTGAGGTTTGGATGCTGGGGAATGTCCATGTACTCTTTATCATGTGCTTGTTACTCAACGAAAATCGAAAAACTAATCAAACTATTTGGGTGAGTTTCTTACCTAAACCTAAATCATAATTTCTCTAGTTCTCACAAATACCATTTCCAACATTTACTTCATCAATTTCTCCTAACAATCCACCATGTTTTAGTAGTAGTAGTATAGTTCACAAATGTAACCAAAAACTTCTAATATCTCAACTCATTCAAATTGAAACAGCTCTGTCTGCCTCCCTAAATTCTGATACTAACAAATGCTTCATTTTCCACATGATTTGTATCTTTCGTCTTTCACTAGAATTTCACACCAACCAATATTCTCTTCTCCCCGAAATTGAAACTGAGGTACTGCTTGTAAATATGAGAAATAATATTGCCTCGACTGCAACAATTTGTATGTTCGTCACTTCAATACTCTCTAAACATTTCAGCGCAAAAAAAGTTTACGTCGGTGGATTATTAGTATATTCAACTGGTATGTTTTTGATGGCTATCACCAAACACAAAATTGGAGTTATCGTCTTTAGTTGGACAGCGGGTGTTATGTATTCCACACTATTCACAATGCCATACCTGATTGTAGCCCACTACCACGCCAAAGGAACGGTAAGTGTTATCATCTTGTACCAAAATTTTGCAATTCGCAAGTAAGTTTTATCAAATATTTTAAAGTTTCCTCACCACATTATCAAATCCACAGTTGTTTATGCCATCGTCCCTTCGAGTAATTTAAAGGAGACTCAAAATGTCAAAAACTTGAGAGGATTATTCGTTATATCGTTAAAAACATATTTCTATGAACATATGACTATAGTTGTTTCGTTTCGGAAATACAGGGCTTTTGAAGTTGAAAAAAACGGTATTTAAAAATTATCATTAATATCCTCAAACCGATCTGGTTGAAACTATATATAGTTATTTGTTAGGAATGTAAAACCTCGTTAATCCTCAGCTCGCACAAGTTTATACTTCTGAGGGTTGTTGTTCGTAGGGGTGTGACAACTGGTTAACGGAAAAAACAGATCAAAGCTCATAGTAAGCCTTTACAGTGGACACTGTAGTCAATAATATCGAGAGAGAAAAAAGTATGTCAGGGCTCCGAGCTAGTAATCAAATTTTACTTATTCAGTTAAGAGGTGTTTTAGAAGGCACTTGAGTTGAATTCTGTAACGCCACTGGTTTCAAGAGGTTCACCATCAAAAATAAATATTCATCTGTTTTTTAACAAATCATTGCCAAGTCTAACCAAGTACCTACTTACCTGCTTTGGAGGTCAGCCGATAGTAATAGTTCATTTTCATATCAGTAAAATTCAAAATTGCGATGATTGCCATGATTCCAACATGAATGATTATTTTAACACTGAAATGACGGACATGCACTTCATTTATGGATTAGCAAATGAAAATAAGAAAGAAACACAAATCTTCTAAAAGAGTTATTCAATGAACTGAAACGTTCAGAACACTATATACAAGATTTCGTGAAACTGGGAGTTATAATAAATATGCAGGTGGTGGGAGCCAAAAAACTGTGACAACGCCTGAACTAAAAGAAAGCTGTGCTTAATGCGATAGAAGAAGATCATTCAAACTGGGCCAGGAAGATTTCACTGCAGCTTAAATTCAACCCAAAAAATGCTTATGAAGTTCTAAAAAGAAACTTCCAATACCCATTTCACATAGAACTAGGTTCAAGCTCTACGCCTAGGGATTTTCACCTGAAATCAATACAGGTGGTTGATTCATACGATAGCACATAATAATAAATTTCTACCAAATATTTTCTTTACAGATGAGGCAAATTTTCCAAGAGATAAACTATTATCAACTTTCACAGTGACCATTTTTAAGCTGACAAAAATCCCCATGTTATTACAAAAAGTCATTTGAGCATCAATTTTTGCTGAACGTTTGGATAGGAATTATTGATGACTAACTAATTGATGGCTCTTCTTCACCAAGTTTAACAGATAAATCCTACACGGACATTTTGCGAGATCATTTACTCATTTCGTTGAAAGTGCCTGTACTTCAACAGTCAACATGTGGTCTATGTACGACAGGGTTCCAGATCCATTTTGTATACTTGCATCTTAACATCACATATCCTGATCGCTGGATTGGACGTGCAGGACCTGAAAATCGGTCAGCTCGCCCTCTAGAGAATATGAATTCTTTAGATTTCTAGTTATATTGTAGGGTACCAATTTCAAATGGCTTCAACGATACTCGTGATATTTCATCCTTAAAACTTCAACGCTATGTGTCTCAGAAACGAAGAGACTTCTGTTCTGTTCATAGAATCTATTTACTCAAAACGACCTTACAAATCACCCTGGAAAAAGATTAATGATTACCTGAGAAGGTAATGACGGATTTGAAGAAGGTATTTCATTCACTCCAGTCAGGAAGTGTTTCGTGTTGAATTAAAATGAGTGAATTTAGGATCGATTTGAGAATAACATTCATTGAAACTTTCGTTCGAACTATAAATAGAAAAATTTTCACCCAAGTCGATGTATTGGAGAGGTAGGAATATGATTAAATATTTGAGTCAAATCTTGAGGAGCTCCATAAAATTCATTGATAATTTAAAACATGAGAACTTAGTATTCTTAAATTCTTTTTTGTCTAGAATTGAAATATTGTATTATTCCCACCATAATGACATTTTTTAGGTTTCATATTCCGTTTACTTTGAAAGAGAGGGAATTTATAAATCTAAGTTGGCTCTTTCTAGACGTAACTTCTTATGTTTATAACGTGAGTTCCATCAGCAAAACTCAACATTATGTATATGTAGGTGAAGTGAATTGACTTTTTTGCTTTTTTTGTTGGAAAGTGTTTAAAAATTCTGCTGATGAAACCTAACCTGCTGCTATATCATTCGTTAATAATGTGCTCGATATGTGAATTGTAGTTCAGCGTGCTGGAAAATATCACTCCTCAGTCACCCACAATATTCTATGATTTGATTCACTGTATTGACCTCATCTCTGCACTGATGAATGTCTTGATTTTCACTAAATTATTTTCTGGCAAAATATACGTTATAAAGAATGTTTATTTTTTATTTCAGTTCGAAACAACGCAAGACGGAGAAGGGAAGATATCGACACAGATTCGAGGTTTGGGTACAGACATAGCATTAGTTTCCAGTATGGTATTTTTAGCCCAGTTCATTTTATCTGTTTGTATGGGTACTATAGTTAGTGTCACAGGAACCACTACAGCTGTTGTGAGTGTAGCTAGTACCCTAGCATTTTTTGGGGCTATATCAGCAACGCGTGTGATGTATTTGGATCTTTGAATCATCGTTAGTGAAAAAAATATTGTTAACAGTTTATGTGTTTGTGTAAATTTGATATAAACCAAGAAAGAATTTATTACAAAATGTTATTGATTTGAATGTACTCAGCCAGCTCAGTTATAAATATGAAATTCCGTTCAGTGGATTTGAATGACTTTGTTGTTATTTTATTGTTCATATAGCAATAATCCAGACAGTCCTAGTCCAAATTTCCCATTTTATTTTTTCTTCAATACTCCCCCAGAAAGTAATGGCAGACATAATCAAATAATAAAACTTATACCCTTAGTCTAGTTTCACCAAAATTTTCTAGGAGATTTTATAATGTGTATAATTCTACAGTAAACTGTAAATGGGTAGGGACAATGACATCTTCCCTTATGAAGACGTAATTATTGGAATTGACAGAAAACTCAATCTTCGAACGAACTAATTTCTCCGAGGCGATCAGTTGCGAAGCCAAGTTTTAACACGACTATGGACTAGATTCGTCTTCCGCCTTTCACTGTAGCTTTCACAACAAAGCAACCAGTTGAAAACTAGAGCCCAAACACAATGCATTTATGATTTAATCACCAGACAGTGCTCTTTCGACCCGTTATAGGTATCATCAGTGGCTAAACCACGAATGGACTGACCTGTCCCAAAGGACAAACTTAAGTAAGTAGAGGCAATGACATCTCCTCTCACGAAGACGCCATCTATGAGATCAACTTTGCAACTGACCGCCTTGCGGTCAGTTGCCGCAAGGCGGGGATTAAGTTTTCTGTCGATCCCAAAGATGGCGTCTCGGTAAAGGAAAATGCCATCACTCCTATTAACTTAGGCTTGTCCTTCAAGGGCAATTGTGTTCAATTATTTGTAAATTACATTTAGTAAAATGACATCAGATGAAATCAGTAAATCACGAAAGTGAAAGCACCTAAAGGCAGACTTTCGATCGCAGGAGGTCAGATGTCTATCTTGCTTAAGTGCCCATCAGCAGGTTGAGGTCCACTCAGGGATGAGTGGTGGTACTTCTGCACACAGTAACCGTGTGGGTAAGATTTCAGGGCACTCAACCCCGGGAAGGGGGTATAATATTTTATGTTTCAACCATTCAACCATTGATCAAACGAACCGTATTGTTATAAAAACTGAACTAAAACTGAATCCAGAGAATTTTCCAAAAGAACTCCTGGTAATACTTTTGAGAACATCTTATACACTCATTTTCAATTTTCCAAAAACGGAATAGTATAAAAATGAATACTGACACTGTCAAACTTCAATAGAGTATCAAGAACTGGTTCTCAAGTCTGGTCAATCATGTTGGTCTGATTGAAGAAACAAAGCAAACGTTTCGAAGGAGACAAAAGTACTTTTAATGTAAGAATACGATAAAAAGAAGAAGCTGATATTTTCTTTGAATAAATATACAATCCATCATATAGTTGATTCCCATATAAAAATTATGAAATATTTCAAGTTTATCGATGAATCATATCGCGAAATATCAGCATATTATATTTTTCTATTGCCATCGGATACAGTGAAAAAACTCAGTCATGGATACATTTTATCATAATTGTGACTTGTTGAAATTATCAACATATAAGAGGCCACCTGTTGTTCCTAGGTCTCAGATGCACACTAATGAATATTCCAACTGCGGCGCCCCCCGTGGGAGTAAATGGGGAGCATTAACATAAGACGGCCACTTGCAGGAAACGTTTTTTCAGAAAGCTGAAGAGCCATATACAAAGATGATCCGACAAGCTATAGTTTGGCCGGCAAGTTTGGCCGGCAAACCTTTATGCCACACAAGGTCAAAAGCCTCAGAAATATCAAGCGCTACAGCTCTTGACTCTCCATGTTCCTCGATTGCATTATTCCAAAAATGGGTGACATACGATAAAAGGTCGCCTGCTGATCTTTGTTTCATTTTTAGTCACCTTTCATTTTTTATTGAAGGAAAAATAACTCTCCCCAAATTGGCCAAACCTCGTAAGTCAAAATTCATCAAGTATGTTTCCGATGAGATGGTGAAGACTAAAGGTTCTTCAGTTGCCGCCTTATCATCGCAGGGAATAACGACCTTCAAACTGTGTGAAGTAAAGAAATGCCTATACAGTTCTCTGGAAACAGTCGACAAAGAAACTTGGGAGAAATGTATGCACGAAACAATCAGAATAGAAGCAGAGATGTGGGATCTGGATGATCGCGTAGATTCATTAACAGAAAAAATTATTCCAGCTGTCATCAATCCCAATGATACTGATTCATCCAGTGAAGAATCACCAACGAATCCCTGTACTCTTTTCTATAGAATTGTTTCTGAATCAACTATAAAATCCAGTAAAAAATATGAATCTTCATTTCCAAACCACCAAGAAATCGTTCAACTAGCTTTCACTCATTTTTGACTTGGTTTTTTGTTTGGGATTGTTATCGTCCATACACACATATATGTTCGGAATGTATTTTACTGTTAATCAGGTATCGTCCCCCTACGAACGATAACCCTCAGAAGTCGAAAATCGTGCAAACAAGCAAACTTGGCAATTTGACTTGGATGTCACACCAATAAGTGGTTCCACTTATGTCTCGCTTGCGTTTACACAGTACTTGGTTATTCACATGTCTTCAATCGATGACCGCCTACCCGGTACTGACGATGCCCAACTGGCTGAACCAGCTGCCTACTGGTGGCTCTTACAGTGAATCAATATGGCAATGAACAGAATAGTACTTATCTATTTATTTCTTGATTTTCATGTAATTATTTTCCAGCAGCTTGACTGTATCAACCTTTCTCGATTTCATATCCTTTTTAGAAACATGTGGATTCGTTTTCCGGTGGCATTCCAGGATATCTTCCCAAATTTCTGCTACCTCAATTGTCGGTTGATTGGTCAAACCACCAACACTGGCAAGTTGACTTGGTACTCAAGTGATTAATGTCTGTTTTTTTATTCATACAATTGTTATTTTCAAAAATGTAAGACATTTCTAGAAAGGACCTCTTAACTGAGGTTGATTCAGTGGTTAATACTTTCATTGAGTTATAATTCATATGGTGGTCAAACTTATTCACATGGTCTGCTAAAGAGCATCTTTCTGGATGTAATCTACAGTCACTTTGGTGCGAAGTTATTCTAGCACCTAATGATAGTGAAGTTTGGCCAACATAAATCTTATCACATGATTCACACGGAATACTATACAGAACATTCACTAGGTTTGTTAATGGGACCTTGTCTTTGACTTTGCTATGTATTGATTTTATGGTAAGTACCGTTTTATTGGCTATTTTAATGTTAGGTAAATTCTGAAAAATCCTCGATAGTTTGGGAGTTATCTCCTTAATGAAGGGTAAGGATGTAAATATGTATTGGAATGGAGCATCACTAGTTATATGGTCGTTTTTCAGAATTTACCTAACATTAAAATAGCCAATAAAACGGTACTTACCATAAAATCAATACACATCAAAGTCAAAGACAAGGTCCCATTAATAAACCAAGTAAATGTTGTGTATGTCAATCATGTGATGAGATATATGTTGGCCAAACTTCACGATCATCAGGTGCTAGAATTACTTCCCACAAAAGTGACTGTAGATTAATAATAATAATAATAATCGTCTTTTTTTGTTACCCAGCTGTAGTTAAATACAAATATTTAAATAAATTAGAGAGCTAGTTGCTGACATAACAAAAGGCGAAGTTCAACTTAGTTAGCACAAGTACTACTGAGTTGTTCTTCCACTCCAGAAAGATGCTCTTTAGCAGACCATTTGAATAAGTTTGATCACCATATGGATTATAACTCAATGGTAGTATCAACCACTGAATCAAGCTCAGTTAAGAGGTTCTTTCTAGAAATGTCTTACATTTTTTAAAATAACAATTGTATGAATAAAAGTACAGATATTAATCACTTAAGTGGAATTTATTTCTGGACAAGAACTTTTACAAGAATAATATCAATTTGAACAATTTCATTGTATAACAAATCTCAATTTTATTCTATTTATGAAAATTTTAATCAAATACAAATAATACATTATAAACTAGAGTACACTTGGTACTCCTAGTGAAACATTTCAAGCTTTCTATCACTTGTCACATGTCACTCTGGCATATTTCAACGTTCTATCCTCAGACTCGTTCATTTGAATCCTGCACGCACGAGGTGAATAATGTATCGGCTCCCATTTTGGAGCCATTTTCAAGAATTTGTGGCTTGACGCCGGGGCCTCAATCTGCCTACTCCCCAGGTCTCGTTACGAGTTCTCTGCCTACTCCTTAGATTTAACTGGCGTGTCGATGTGTGATCGGAAGCGGAAAGATGATGGCGGGGCTTCGGGTGATTACCATCACCGGACGTCCTGGTGGGGGGTGAGCATCAGGAAATTAGGGGTTTCCAGGCAGTTGGAAGTATCTGATTATCATCTCGTGTTTCAGCCAGAAAGGTGTTTTCGCTGTGGCGATGGTCTTAGTGTTCGCAAAGTCTAAGCGTTGTGTCCTGTCTCTTGATGATATTTGGACAGAGCTGAGCTACAGCTAGGGTCTTCGTCATACAGTCCATTATGTTTGGGTGTCTCCTCAATAAGTAGTTGTCAGTGAGTAGCTCTAAGATTGTTTTGGAGCCGATCCCAGCTTTGTGGAAACAGTTTATCTTCTTCAACGGTTCCATTATAAAGGTTTTCTTGTATGTGTTCCCGAATATACCTTTCCAGTACTCTTTATGAACAGCTAGTACAGCTAGTTCAGAGTCTATATATGGAATTGATGATATCATCAGCTTTTTCGTTGCCTGCGATACGTTGTCCTGGTACCCAGTATAGGGTCAATCTATCCCTGTCCGCAAAGTTCCCCAGTTTTTCACGGTATTCCCAGACCAGTCATGATGTCATTTTTAAATTCATCAGTGCCCCAAGTGCAGCCTGGCTGTCTGTGAATGTATTGATCCGCTCAGTTTGTGTGAAATTGTACTGAAGGAAGGTTGAAGTGACGCCGTTCAAAGTAATTATCTCATCGATGTCAACATGTTCCGTTATTTCAGTTCAACGTGTCAAAAAACAATCATTTATGGAGTATTCCAACTTCAAAATGAAACTTTTTCGTGAGTTATTCTACTCGGAGTGATCACCGTTGATCACTTTAA